AATGTCTCAACAGAAATCGAGACTCATCAGACCAGGCAACATTTTTCCAGTCTTCAACTGTTCAATTTTGGTGAGCTCTTGCAAATTGTAGCCTCTTTTTCCTATTTGTAGTGGAGATGAGTGGTACCCGGTGGAGTCTTCTGCTGTTGTAGCCCATCCGCCTCAAGGTTGTGCGTGTTGTGGCTTCACAAATGCTTTGCTGCATACCTCGGTTGTAACGAGTGGTTATTTCAGTCAAAGTTGCCCTTCTATCAGCTCGAACCAGTCTGGCCATTCTCCTCTGACCTCTGGCATCAACAAGGCATTTCCGCCCACAGAACTGCCGCTCACTGGATGTTTTTTTCTTTTTCGGACCATTCTCTGTAAAGCCTAGAGATGGTTGTGCGTGAAAATCCCAGTAGATTAGCAGTTTCTGAAATACTCAGACCAGCCCTTCTGGCACCAACAATCATGCCACGTTCAAAGTCACTCAAATCACCTTTCTTCCCCATACTGATGCTCGGTTTGAACTGCAGGAGATTGTCTTGACCATGTCTACATGCCTAAATGCACTGAGTTGCCGCCATGTGATTGGCTGCTTAGAAATTAAGTGTTAACGAGCAGTTGGACAGGTGTACCTAATAAAGTGGCCGGTGAGTGTATATGTGGTCAGATGTGGTACTTCACATGTAATATATTGCAGATGTATTTACTCATGCGACTTAAACACACATTTATAGAGAAATATATAATGTAATATATTTCTTATATATATATATATTTTTTTACATTTTAAGTTGTTTCATATTTGCAATGTAGTTGACAAAAGCACAAGCATGTACTATTTAGCCAGGAGACGATCACTGTACTGAGGAGTGCACAGTCAATACTTTTAAGTATTCAGCACTTAAAGTCTTCAGCACATTAATAACCCCAAAAACTCACACACACCAAAAAACCTTTTTAAATTAAACAATAATAGAGCATTAAAAACTAGAGAGAGCAGAGAGCCATCATACAAGATGTGGGCCGGATCTGGGCCGAAACTATGCTGCTATGTGTGATATCTGGGCTAACAAACAAACAAACAAACCAGGACTCGAACCGGGAACCTTGCTGTAAGCATCTCAGTCGAGGATCACATTGCTTTTTGTAAATCACTCGACTAACCTGTGGCTGTGAGGTGGAGGACACAGCCTATTGGAACCGAACATGTACTGGTAGGCATAATTTGGCAAAACTTCATCAATCAACAAACTACAATTAGGTTATAACTTCATTCAAATTAATAATACTGTCACTATTTGACAAAATCTTCGTTTTACCTTAAAAAGGGCAAATAAAATAGAGCGGTGACGTCAGAAGAAAAAGACTTTTGAGAGATGACTCGATGAACTGTGTGAAACAATTCATTCGAACGGAATCGGAATCGTTTAAACGAATCAGTCACGTATACACTCGCGCGCGCTCGCGCGTCTTCATCAGTCTCGTGCACACTCTGCACTGCGCGGAGCTGCTTCTCTCTCCAGCTGGAATACACACACACTTACTCGCATCAAGAACATCTACAGGTAATTATCATCCTTTCAGTGTGGATGGAGGAACATGCACTGCTGTCGTCATACATGTCAACACAGGTGCATGCGTCTATACTGATGATTTCATATTCGGAAGTCAGACATATGTGTTAGTATTTGTGTGCTTTGAATATTAGTATTGTTTATATTTAGTGCATGTTAAACGTGTTTAAAATTGCTTAATTGTTTGCATATGTTTATAATATACCCTATGATAACGCAGCAGTGCAGCACATAATCAATATTCAGTCCTCGCGTTATTTTTGCTGCAACATGTGCAGTGTAAAGAGAAAACAATGTTTAGTGATTACACCAGTTAAATCTCATTTCTCATTTGTAAGTCGCTTTGGATAAAAGCGTCTGCTAAATGAATAAATTGTAATTCAAAAATACACAATGCAACTATAAATCCAGTCATATTATGCAGTTATTGTTATTGCAATAAAATTGTGGTAAATACCGGTAGTATTATCCACCACTGTCAAATTACAAAAAGATTGTGAAGTTTTCTGACGCTGTACACACTCCTGATTTTACTGTGGTAATAATAGCTGTACGAACATCGGAATGTTGGTGGAAAACAATTAACAATAATTAATAATCGGTTCTCCACCATAAAGCAATCTGTATCGGTCATACAAGGTTTTGAGACACTTTTTTTCTTCCATTTTCTTTAAAAGTCGAGTCATGTCAAGTTAAAATCTATTTCTATTCAAAAGCTTTATTCAAAGCAGCTTTCCTGTAATAGACAGTAAAATAACTATTAATGTAGGCAATTATGAAACAAATTAAATTTCCGCTGCTGCTCTACGGAGGCCATTAATTCATTAAGTTCGATGTTGATTCAATTTAGCTCAGCAAAGTTATGAACCGAACTCATATAAACTATAAAACAGCCCTACAGAAGACAATGGTGTCTAAAAAAGTGAAGGACAGTTGTATTTCTTTATGAGCATTTAAAGGTAGGGTAGGCAATTTTCGGAGAGGCTAGCAATAGCGGGTTAGCTTTGAAGATCCCTTCCTCCCTCCAAAGACACGCCTCCTTGCTGGATGCATTTCAAGGTGGGACTTAGGTAGGCATGAAGGCACGTCCGAATCCAAAGTTAGCTTCACTTCCAATCTCCTGAGAAACCTTCATCTGATGGATTTATGAAGACAGCACAGATCTATCATTCACTGCCTTTGATATCCCACAATCCTCTGCTTTCTATTCTGTGACAGTTGAGCTTAAAAACAAAGATGGCGTCTGAAAGTTGTGGTTAGTCGTCAGTTTGTGTGTAAATGTACATTTTCGACCAACGTTTTCCACTTCTGATGTCATTTCTAGCGAGAAATTACTATTTTACTTCTGAAATATACGCTTGGGTCTCACCAAAGCTCGCTCTTTGCTGTAGATCATTAACCGTTACGCTGCCTCAGAAGACTGTTCGAAATCAGTGTCGTGAGGTAATGCCGCCTGCTTATAGTGACGCAGCCAACAAAAGCGTCAGAGAGACGCCGTTTAAAGGGTTTAAACTGGCCGGCCCAAAAGTTATGAAAGACATCGTTAAAATAGTCCGAGTGACTACAGTGGCTCAATCTTAAGTTTATCAAGCGACGAGAATACTTTTTGTGCGCAAAAAAACAAACAAAAAGAACGACTTTATTTGGGCCGGCCAGTTTCGAACCCTTAAGAAGCCTATGGAGGAGTGATCCAGCTCTCAGATTTAATCAAAAATATCTTAATTTGTGTTCCGAAGATGAACGAAAGTCTTACGGGGTTGAAACAACATGAGGGCGAGTAATTACTGACAGAGTTTTCATTTTTGGGTGAACTATCCCTTTAACTACCTCATGTCTCAAAGCACATATTAACATTACAATAATAATGAACGTAAACCACTTAAAGAGCTCTGGTTGCACCACCTGACTGCTGCAGATTTATTTCACCGTTGATAGTGTTTCCATAGAAACGCATAAATTAGAGTCACGAACCACTCCGAGTTTAACGTCACGGGTTTCCATCTCTCAGATGACAGTAGTTATGGCGTGAACGCAGCATAGGCTGGTTGTTTTGGTTCAGGGGGAACTATAATACTATAATACAATCTGTAGTGTAAAAAGCGCTATATAAATAAAGATGACTTGACTATAAAAGACAGCTGCGGTTTCGTTTGCGGCGCTCAGTGACTGACGTCTGTCTAACTCTGGATAGGTATGAAAATACGCTGATAGGCAGGTAGGACATTAGATTGGTCGAACATTTTATGGTCCTGCGCCTTCCACAGGCAATATAAATGCATTTAGACCACTTCATTTAATGACTTCTATCAGATCTGAAGAGACTTTCAACCGGCATAACAAAAAAAAAAGCCTTTAAGTGAAGAGTTTTACATGTTTTACAACTCTAATTGGGATTGTGTGGATCTGCATCTGCTTGGTTGTAGAGCTGTTTGAGCTTGTTTAAAATGCACACAATCTCAGTACAGTACAGCACATGTGTCATTAAATGTTGTGTGTTTTGGAGCTCATGAATGTGTCGGTCTTTAAACAGGTCCATCATCCCGGCAGCGATGGACGCTCTGGCGTTCTGATCCAGTGACAGGTACTGCACTTTATATGAGAGCTTTGTGTGTGTGTGTGTGACAGGTATTGGCATGATTGATTGAAATATCACCTGTAATGCGTAAGCCAAAGAAAAGTCGAAACTTGATGGTTCAGGACAGTTTTGAGGTGTAACGATACCCTCATGTCACGATTTAATACCTACTGAACTCACGATACCATATTATTGCGATAATCCAAGACATGCTAAAAGGTTAACAAAAAATAAACTTGATTAAAATGCTAAATTTGGTGTTACATTGTGTGTGTGAATGAATAGTCTTGGACTTGGTGCTGAAACCCAAAGCACAGGACAATAGAGACACCAGAATAAACATATTCATGATTCTGAAGCTGAAAACACAGGATTATTGTAGATAAATATGCTTAATCTCTGTCACTGACTAGATATATTTAAAATAATGTAGGACACTTTTACTGGTAACATTTGGCATTATCAGGACCCACAAATATTGCATTATTATACATTATATTCAACTTTATATATAGTAGTTTAATGTAGACACTAAAACTCTTTTTTCACAGTCATTTTCATTTTGGGTGAATTATACACAATACATATTCTCACTATCCATGATAAACACATTTGTTGCATTTTTTATATTGCGATATATGTTGACAGGATATATTCTTACACCCCTAGCATAAACAGTTAGACAGCTGCTCAAATGACACACACACAGATGTGAAAATTGCAGTGTGAGTGTATTTTTGTCCATTGAATGTGCTTTTTCTAACTGCATCTATGTGCTTCGGAAAACACGTTTCCATGAGGCGCTTCATTATGTCAGATTTCCTGGAGATGTAAGTTGGTGTGTGTGTTTCCCTCAGGTGGTGTGTGAGTGTGTGAGCGCCCCCCGGTGGCATGAGCGCGTGCGGGAGGAAGGCTCTGGCTCTGCTCAGCAGTGTGTTTGCGGTCTGCAGTCTGGGTCTGCTGGGCATCGCCGTCAGCACTGACTACTGGCTCTATCTGGAGGAGGGCGTCATCATGCCCCTCAACCAGAGCACTAACACACACCTGTCCATACACTCCGGCCTCTGGAGAGTGTGTTTCCTGGCAGGTCAGTCACATTCAGTTAAGAGAACACTTTACAATAAGGTTCATTAGTTAACATTATTTAACTACATTAGTTAACATGAATTAATTAACACACACACACAAGCTCTTGTAGCTCCGCCCCCTGCGCTGGGAGCAGCAGCTCATTTGCATTTAAAGGGACACACACAAAAACTGCGCGTTTTTGCTCACCGTCAAAACGTGACATTTTTAACATACTATAAAAAATATCTGTGGGGTATTTTGAGCTAAAACTTCACACACACACTCTGGGGACATTAGAGACTTATTTTATATCTTGTGAAAGGGCATTATAGGACACCTTTAAATCCCCATTGTTCCTATGTTCCCTATTAGAGTCAGCGTTATAAACAGCCGGTCGTTCGAGTTCATTCCAATGGACTTCACACATTCAAAGGGGTTTTAATGGATTTATGCCATTATTTTTGCCTGGCCAGGCAATCTGGACTGATTACAAAGGTTTCAGCTCGGATCCGTGTGTCCGGGTTTGGCTATTGTTGTCTGGGATCATCATTTTCTGAATGTGTTTAATGATGGGATGTGTCCTGCTGTATTGATGAGGTTTATTCACGCAAGGCTGTATGTTTGGTTTCAATGAGCTCACACTCACACAACGGCACAAACACACACATTAGTCTCAGTGAAGGAATGCAGTGTGTGTGTGTGAAGATGTGGGCGAGCGATTGGACCAAACCCGCGCTGTTTATATCCGGGGAAATTGAGCGTGACTGTGAACAGATGTGAGCCGTCGTTTGAGCTCTACGGGATCACGATCAGCCATGGGATTTAAACACCCCAAACTTTCCGAAGTCTCACATTATTTCTGTGCTTTAAAGTGAGAGGGTTGCTTTGCTTCGGGTGTTACAGTGTGAATGTGATATAAGACAGACTGTGAAATCATGATCCTGGAGGTCTCACCACATGACTGACTGCACTAACACTACAGTCTCCCGAAGAAAAGAGAAAGCATGGATGACGGCCATTAAAAGGAGAGCCCTTTTTCTCTATGAGAAGATTGAGATTTATTTAGGCTACACATGATCTGTCCGTAGATCTACTACTTTAACTCTTTTTATTGGAGCTTTTCAATCAGACAGTTAACACAACAGCATTAGTTTCAACATATTCACCAAGAAATCCAGCTGAAGTTAAACAAAAGCATTCCTTACTCTCTGAGTCAGTTACAAAAGAAGAGGGAAAAGAAAATGATTATAAATGCATGCTCCAAAACATACTAGTATATTACAAAACAAGACCAGTAAAATAATATAAAATTCAAATATATATGTATTAGGTATGCATACTGTGTGGTAGCAATAAAGACAAAATACAGCAAACATTTAAACATACTAATATAAGAGAGAAAGAAAACAACAACAACAACAACAAAAAACAACAACAACTTGCACCTTTTTAAACAATCACTGAAAAAACAAATACAATTTCTTTCCCTTCATGTACTCTGGATCTGTCAGTAGATCTGCCTGAACACATGCCTACACCTCAGCTGCAGTTGAGTCCTGTCTGACCTCTCTTCCCTACTTCTTTTCCTGTCCAATGTTTAAAAAAAAAAAATAGAAAAAGTCTGAAACCACAAGTTTAATGGCCGTTATTGTATTGTATTCAGAGCCCCTGTTTGAAGAACCCTGGTGTGTGCTATTAAATGAAAAGCCAAAGCTCATCTTATCCCGGAGCAATAACTCTCTCTCTCTCTCTCTCTCTCTCTCTCTCTCTCTCTCTCTCTCTCTCTCTCTCTCTCTCTCTCTCTCTCTCTCTCTCTCTCTCTCTCTCTCTCTCTCTCTCTCTCTCTCTCTCTCTCTCTCTCTCTCTCTCTCTCTCTCTCTCTCTCTCTCTGTGTGTGTGTGTGTGTGTGTGTGTGTGTCAGGTGAGGAGAGGGGCCGCTGCTTCACCATCGAATATGTGATGCCCATGAATGTTCAACTGACCAGTGAGTCGACTGTCAACGTTCTGAGTAAGTCACACACACACCTTTATGACAAGCAAAAACGAGTGTTACTAATGTTTACAGCAGTCCTTCTCAACTGGGTTTGGTCCCAGACTTGACCAGAACTATCTTCAGTTGATTTCATCTAAGGCTGTGGCTGGAAGTCAGTTGTGGTTCTTGTGTTTCTCTTTCCTTCAGTGATTCTGCTTGTTAACAGCAGGCGTTCATCACTAATGCTCAATTATCACTTAATTAGTCACTTAATTATATAATTATCCAATTATCATGCTGGGATCTAGAAATGTTCTATAACTCATTCAGTTTGAGTTCTGTTTCAGTCATTGTGTCCACAAAACTTTGGGTAATATTTGGTAACACTTTATTTTAAGGTGCTTGTAATAAGCAGTAATTAACAGTTAATAAGACACTTATAAGACCTTATAAGATGCATATAAGCATTAACTACTTCATATAAGGGTTAATTAAAGGTCCAGGCCCTGAAGAGATCAGGGAAACTACTCCCTCTTGGGAAGGTCAATTTTTAAGGGACTGGGAGTTTGTGTTACCATTTATGTTTGTTCGGCTGTTCTAAAAGTGCAATGTATTGATACTTGAGAAATGTATTATTTAATTTAATTTATTTATTATAATTAGTTAATGCTTATATGCATCTTATATGCATCTTATAAGGTCTTGTAAGTGTCTTATTAACTGTTAATTACTGCTTATTACAAGCACCTTAAAATAAAGTGTTACCTAATATTTAAATTAAGTGAACTCAATTTTATTTAGTACATATAACCGTTAAGTTTTACAGTGAATATTTTTGTTTCTGAATGACTATTAAAATTTGGTAACACTTCCATTTGTGAACAACTTTTCTAAGTATAGAGTAATAAAGTACTCACAAATCATTAACAAACTATTAGTTTATAGTTAATTCGTAGTTTATATATTGCATTCTCTACATTATTAATAGGTTATGGACAAATAGTGTGTTCTCTGTTCATTTTCACTGTAATTAACACATTTATTATTGTTTAAGTAGCTCATATATAAAGAGTTAATAATGTTGTTTATGCTTTGTTAACAACTTATTAACCATAAATAGTTCTCACTTTAGATAAGGTCACGTAAAATCATTAATTAAGTGCTTTAAACCAATATTTATTGGACATTAATTGCATTAGTATTAAGTATTTCTTAAAATGTTTACAAATACACTAAGCATAAATACAGTACTATGCAAAAGCCGTTACTATTTTCACCCCCCAAAAAAAGGGTTTAAGCCAGTTATGCATATCTTTTGCTGTAGTGTGTCAGTAGGAAATATCCGTTTACATTTCCAAACGTTAATTTTGCCATTTATTGTAATAATCCTGGTTATTAATCAAGTCTGACAACAGTCAGTAAGATCAGATCTCATCATCATCGAGTCTGTCTGTGTTTACATGAAAAAACAGACTCAATCCAGAAGAACTGCAGCCACATCGCCAAGACGCTTGAAGAAACCGTACAGAAATGAAGTTACAGTACAGTGAAAAGTTTAAGGCACTTGTGTAAAAATGCTGTAAAGTGAGGATACTCGCAAAAAGATTGTCATAAATACAATTTATTTATCAATTAACTTCAATTAACTAAATCAAATCAATATTTGGTGTGGCTACCCTTTGCGTTTTAAACAGATTTCCCCCAGATACACAGTTTTTCAGGTAGTTTTGCAGGTTGGTTTCTTTAAGCGTCTTGGAGACGTTGCCACAGTTCTTCTGGATACAGAAAAAGACAAATATTTACATTTATATTTATTAAGGAAAAGGGAGGAAGTCACAGCCACCACAGATGATCAAATCACATGCATTCTCACACACTAAATGTATTTGGTTAAATAGGGGATTTATATTCAATTAATTTTATCCAGTAATCCAACAAATTTTTTTCTGAAATTCGCATTTAGGAGATTCAAAACTTACAGTCTCTCACTTCCGCTAAAATGGATCAGGGATTTTTATGACTTCGGCTTCTCATCACATCTTCTGTCCAATCAAACGCTCTCTAGAATCTGAAGCTCCGCCCCCTCTGCTATAAACACCCCCTTTAAACAAAGTGACGAATTATCTATTTAAAGTCTATTCTTCAGGAAGAAGAGATGACAACTTTTTTTTTGTCGATTATTTTGTCCTTAAAAAAATATAAAGTATTGTTTTCTGCTGTCATTTATTGCGCTTAAATACAGCCCTCAACGATTGGCTATAAGCTCAGTCAGATTTACCGCCAATCTTTAGGCTACACATGATCTGTCCGTAAATCTACTACTTTGACTCTTTTTATTGAAGCTTTTCAATCAAGGACAATATTTGTTTCAACATATTAACCAAGAAATCCAGCTGAAGTTAAACTGAATCCAAATCCAATCCAATGGCATATCCAGTCCATGATGTACAGTGCAGGATGTCTGGTTATGAGCTGTCAGTTTCGACAGGTGTTTGAGAGTGTATGTCGGTGTGGAGGTAATTACCCCGCTGATGGTGAGCATCACGGCTGTCGCGCACGAGAGCCGCTCCACATTAGCAGGAATAGCCCTGCGACTCGGCTGACATCACGCTTCACACCGCTAGTTAGCATGCTAGCTAAGCCATTGTGGGAAACGCATTTGAATGAAATAAAACCGCAAGGTCTTGCAATATCTGAATGATTTTAATAAGATACTTCAAAAAGTTGTCAGTTTTAGATCAATGCATATAGCAGAGGAAAGAGTGGGCACGTGACGGTGACTTATCTGTGATGTGCTTGATGTTAAAAATAGTTATTAAGCAAACAGAAAACCACATCTCGGACAGCGTACAATCATGAATTAAACTCGCTTTCCTGGGTTATTACACTCGAACGGTCAAATACACACACACTTATATCAAAATGCCTGTTTTGGTGAGTATTCATGTAAACAGTCGCTTGTGTCTCAAATGAACATAAACAGTTGGGAAAGAAACGGTGTGTGTCAATAGGATCCTGCATTAGGTCTTAAAGTGACAGCAGCCTAATACAGTAAACCTGCTACTGTCAGTCAAACAACTGGAGGAAAAGAGAAAATCACTCTTGACTGAATAACTTTTGTAGATTTAATATGAATCAATGTGAAGGCTGTGCAGTGTTTTAGTTGTACATGTGATTATTCAGTTTCTGTATTGTTTCTTACTTCTTCTATTGAATATATCTAATATAAGGCAACCTGAAAAACGTAAAGCACTGTATACTTGATTTGTATCTTTGTTTTATTGTATATGATGGGTGTTTTTGACTGAATAACCATAGCTAAAACAATAAGTACATTATGTTTTTGGCTGAAAACTGTGTCGTGTTAATAGGAGCGACGACGATTCTTAAACGTTATGGTTATAGTTGTGGTTATTGGTGTGAACAGGCCTTTAACTCACTATCGAATGACTCTTTTCTCCCTGTGATGCCGTTTCTCTTCAGAGATGATTCGCTCGGCCACGCCGTTCCCGCTGGTCAGTTTGTTCTTTATGTTCATCGGTTTTGTGCTGAACAATATCGGGCACATCCGGCCCCACCGCACCATACTGGCGTTTGTCTCTGGGATCTTCTTCATCCTGTCAGGTGCACTTCTTCCTCTTCCTCGTCAAGTCAAGTCTTTTTCCTTCATTTATACAGCGCTCTTTACACTACAGAGTGTTTCAAAAGCACAGGAAAATAATGCAACAAAGTTTGTGTCTAGAAGAAAATAGAGTCACAGTCCAGCTTAAGTTAGTTCAGTGATGGTTCATTTCGGTTGTAAAAAAAGTTATTGATTTAGTTCATTTATATATATATCCGCTCTGGAGAAAACCAGCTCAGCTCAGTTCTTATATAATGCTGTCAATGCAGGAGATCTATAATATTGTTGAATATTAAATGTCGTTCGACACGTCTCATGCGTCAGGCTGTTGTCTGTCTGTCTCACAGGGCTGTCTCTGGTGGTGGGTCTGGTTCTCTACATCTCCAGCATTAATGACGAGATGTTCAGCAGGACCAAGAGCAGTGAGGCGTATTTCAGCTACAAGTACGGCTGGTCGTTTGCGTTCGCTGCCATCTCGTTCCTGCTCACTGAGGTGAGAACACACTTCTCTGCAGTTAAACCAGCCTGTGTGTGTTAACTCAGGCTTTCTTTAAAGATGTAATCTCAGCTAACAGACTTTTGTTATAAGAACGTTCTCCAAATATTCAGTGTTGGTTCTGGGAACGTAAAAAACATCCAGTTTTCTTGACGTTAGAGGAACGTGTTTTAGAAGGTGTGATGTTCCTCAAACGTTCTTTCAACTTAATTTTTATGAACAATGAAATATTCTAGGAACGTTGATTTGTAACATTCCAAGAACGAGTCGAGTTTCCTGAATGTAAATATAATGTTATTTAAAGGTTAGTGTGATGTTCCTGAAACATTCAAACACCGGCTGTGAACAAGCACTGAAGGAAAGAGAAATAAGAACACAAACTACAACTTTCTTCAGACACAGCCTTCGATGAACTGAAGATAAAATACATTAAATCTCTGAAGATCTGATTAAACAACTCCACAAACAGCATTACCAGCTTCACTTATCACTAACCAGACTGACTTTATTTCTGTCAGACGTCTACAGAAGCTCTTATTGAGAATTAACAGAGGTTTGGAGGTTGGTGTTGGTTGAAAATGTCACCATTATGATGATCGGTGTTTGCTTTAGTTGGGCTCTTGACCCTTGACTTTTGTTAAGTTACTTTTTTTCAGTAATTGCAGGTGTTTTCAGAAAACATTTCTGCATTGATAAAGCCGACCAACATGTCTGCATTAATGGTCAGACATCATTACTCAATCCAGTCTTCAGTGTCACATGATCCTTCAGAAATCATTCTAATATGCCGAATCTTTCATAAACATCAGAAGTTTGACAGTCTTTCCCACAATTGGAGCTCTAATCCATAAAATGACAGGAGATGTCAAGCTCCTGAAAGGTCAAATACTACAACCACTAGAAAGGCACCATAAAAACAGTCCACATTCTCCAAGTCTTCTAATCTAGACCATACCAGAGAGTTGTGTGTGATATATATGGACTGATGTTATGGTAGGTATTGAACTTTAAGTCAAGTCACCTTCATTTATACAGCGCTTTTACCAATATAGCTCGTTTCAAAGCAGCTTTACAGTGATAATAGGAGATTACAGTAACAGAGATTGTGTGGCTTTACAACAGCTCTAGAATAAAGTTATTGTCCAGCTAAAGTTAGTTTTGATTGATTCACTTCCGTCACAAAGATCATTAGTTATTAACTTAGGGGCCGCTAACACGACACCGCTCTAACTTGTGACGGTATTAGGCCTTACAAGATCAAGTTCAACACTTTTACTGTGTTCTGGCCGTTCATCCGCACCAATATATAAATGAAGATGACTTGAGTTCTGTGTGTGTGTGTGTGTGTTCAGAGTGCAGGTGTGATGTCGGTGTACCTGTTCATGAAGCGCTACACGGCGGAGGAGATCTACCAGCCCCACCCGAGCTTCTACCGGCCCCGGCTGAGCAACGGCTCTGATTACTCGGGTCAGTTCCTCCACCCGGAGCCCTGGACCCGGGGCCGGAGCCCGTCAGACCTGTCCAGCGACGCCTCGCTCCAGATGAACGCCAGCTACCCCGTGCTGCTCAAGTGTCCCGACTACCAGCAGGTGTCCTCCTCCTCGCCCTGCTGAGCTCGGGACGGTCCATACACTGCGTTCAGGTCAAGCTGATCAGTGTCAACTAAATCCATTTACCCAATCCTAAATAATGCGTCTACGCCTTAGGAAACGGACTCAATTCGCCTACTTATACTACGCCCTAAAAGTATTTACTCTTCTTGTGAATAAAAAGTGCATCTTTTGAGTGTGTAGCAGAAGAGTAGACAAGCTTTGAGACACACACTATCACGTCATACGATTGCGTCTTTAACGGTTGCTCTCTGTCACAGTAAACTGGCCTGTCAATCATCTTGTCAAAGATAAAATCCTCCACATTTAATTTCATTTCCTACCGTATCGAATAGAAATGCAGAGGCACGATGATCTTGGTCTTTCATGACGAGACTCTCCTCATATTAATGCATAATGATGTATTTAAAAGTTAATGGCCAAACCGATCTTTATAAAAGTCCACATTGTTATTGCAGATGAAATATAACACGGATAACATTAAATAAATATATTTTTAGTATGAACATTGAGACGCAGGGTGAGAGTGTGTGATGCTCCAGCAGGGGGCAGTATAGGATTACGGGAACACTTCACAATACATTTCATTAGTTAAAATGAACTAAGAATGAACATCTACAGCATTTATTAATCTTAGTTAATATTAATTTCTACATTTACCAATATGTTATTAAAATCAAAGGTTGTGTTTGTTAGCATTAGTTAATGCACTGTGAACTAACATGAACAAACAATGAACAGCTGGATTTTTATTAACAAACATTAACAAAGATTAATAAATACTGTAACAAATGTGTTGCTCATGGTTAGTTATTTCATTATCTAATGTTAACTAATGAACCTTATTGTTAAGTGTTCCCAGTATTATTCTCTGGAGTGATTCACACACTGCTTATAATCATCAAGGTTTAATGTACAACTGAGTGTCCGTCCATGTAAATATTTATGGTGCTTAATTATACAAATATGAATTGTAGCCATTATGGATCACTAGCCTTCTAGTACATCAATCTGCTTTGAAGAAAAGTCCGATATTTGTGTAATGTGCGTGTATATACTATGTATGTATGTAATGCAATATAATATCTATTCATATCAAATTGTATTCTTATAAAGGTTGTTGTAACTAAATAATTCGTAAATAAGTGCAGAAATCGTCTTGGTATCTATTGAACACACAACAAATATAGATGAACAAATGTATCTTGAATTTCACAAATATGTAATATTGCACATCTGAAATGACGAACTGTCCATTTTTAAATGTTTGTGATGAGATATTATATAGTTGTCCACAGCTTTCTGCTACATCCTTAACACTGGATAAAATCTGTACCTGCATAATCCTTGTTTATTAATTTTGCAGTCGCCACACTCAAAACCAACGTCATGAGCTGCATATCATGAGGATATATACATATAATTATATATATTTGTCAGTATTATAGACTATCAATCTGCATTGCAGGCAAGCATTTTCAGTTAGTGACAGAGTTTGCTTTATGAGTTATCATTCAATCAATCCTTTTTATTTACAAATAAAGAGTATTTTACAAATGTTAGAGAATACAAGAAAATACATCATAAACGTAACACAGTTGGAGACTAATGTATATCCACATAAAGATATTGATACATTTTCTAATTTTTTGCTTCATTGTAAATTGGATTGAGTCGATATAAAGCGCCATTTCTTTCTTATATAAAACAGGGTTTATTTCACAGGAAAACTTACATTTGTGAACATGGAATTTTGACATTAAAATATTAAATGTATTATATAAACCTGAGTGTGCTTGTCTCTAGTTCTCCAAAAGACCAAATAATGAATGTTCTTTATAATAAAATCACTAATATTTTGCCAGAACGGTCTTATGAATGTGCAGTGCCTGAATAAACCAGCCACAGTTTCAGGGCATCTGACATGTTAACTTTATTAAAAGTAATGTTTCACTGGGTAAATCCTGTATATAATTCTGAATGACGCCTCTTTGACTTTGTAATTGAATATTGAGGTATAAGCCAAACCTTTTCCCACACAATATTGTCTGTCAGATGATTCCAATACGAGTAAATATCAGGCAAAGAAATTTAGTTAGAAATAACGCTCTTATGGATCTGTTCTGTGAGTTAAACTAATATTAGAAGAACTTACTATATAGTAGGTGAGGACCATTGTTGAATGTAAATCATTTTCTGATGTCTAAACATGATTTCAGGCCATATTGCACCAAAAACTTGCATAATGTGTTACAGGAATATTATAATGTGCAAAAAAAACATTTAAATTAAATAACTGCTTTGATGATGGTGTATTGGTAGATGCATTTAAATATTATATCTTTATTGTTCTGTATATAATACTTATGTGAAGAAAAGTAGTTTGATAAAAAAGGCCTGGTGATGAAATTCAGATAGTTTTGCTGGTATTTTATCAATATTATAATTACAACTAAGAAGAATATGTGTATTACCAGGGTTTGAAAGAATATGTGAGGGGATAAAGTTTTAGCCTATTCATTTTAAATGTATTATTTAATGTTTCAAAATCCCAAAAAAATTAAGGCCACCATTTTCATATGAATTCATAATAACTGTTTTCTTTATGTAATATATGTTTGTTTTTTCCATATGAAGTCAAACAGTATTTTATCAATATCTTTACATAAATTATGTAACATATGTTTTATTAAAGTCCCCCTGTGGTGAAAATCTAATTTTTAATGTTGTTTATTATGTCTATGTGGTGTTTTTAATATGCTTCAAGACAAATCATGTGTAAATCATAAGTCGACAGCATTGCTGAGTGTTTTCTCCTTAAAACTGCAGTGAACCAAAGACAGTCTCAAACACACGGTTAGAAATCGCTGGTGTTTCTGACGTCACACACGACCTTGTAACCAATCAGATCAACGTGTGATCGTCAACCAGTGGATCTCTGAGCTGAGTGAGTGAGTGGAGGCGGGGCTCATTTGCATATTCATAGAACCACGCATACTAAATGAGGCAAGGGTGTCGAGTTACATTCAAGATATTTTAAGCCATGAAGAATTATTTTCAAGGAAAACACGTTTAAATGTGTCATATTGGCCATCAAAGATGATTTTAAGGGATAAAATGATTGACTACAGGGGGACTTTAAGAGTTCTTAATCTGTGTTGATTGCTAGTTGGTAATATATTGTTTTATTTCGATAGCTAGTATTTGCTATCAGGCCAAAGAACCAAAGCCATTGCTGCATAAGTCAGTTTAGAAAACTCCGCCCCTTAAAGGTACAGTAAGCTATTTCTGAGACGCTGTTGATATTTGAAATCACCAAAGCAAACACGCCCCTACCCAAAAGGATCACACCCCTATCTTGATAGCTCCGCCCCCATATTAACGAACACGCTATTCAGCACAGGCCCCGCCCCCTTCATGAGTGGCCACGCCCCTTACGGCTGATTGGCTTCAAGTTTGTTTTGGTTTTGGTCTCTATAGCACGCAGTGTGTTTATCGTGCAATTTATACGCGAAAATTAGTTTTTACGTGCATAGGAAACGCATAGGTAGGTTTAGTAGTGGTGTGGGGTGGGTGTGTAAAACACGTTTGGTTAGGATAATGGCAAGCCAAGAGGTTCAGTTTTACGCCATAAATTAATCGCGTTTACTGCCAAATACCGTCAAATACGGCGTTTTAACATATAGTACGGATATATAAGCTTGATGTGTATATTGCCTAATTGCAAGCTTGTTCAGAAATGGTGAGAATAATTTTTTCCATCATTATTGAACATCATTATAGGAGTATTAGGTTGAATGAGTTAGAATACTTGATATGTATCATAGTAATGCAGTTAGCAATTCTGTTTGCAGTTACATTCTGCAACTTTTTCATGCATTCTGATTCTGAAATATTGTTTCTTTTGCAGGGCCATGCAAAATATTAATCAAAACCTTCAGTAAATTAGGCCTACATATGTTTTTTTTTATTACACTGTATCAGAAAGTCAGTTTATTATATGTACATATATGGCATAATTTATAGAAATAAATATTTATGAATGAAGTACAATTTCCAGAAAAACTGAATCTTTAAGTATACATAGCAAAAGCAAATCTAGTGAAACATGCACCAAATAAATGGACCAGAAGCTTCAAAATATATGATTTTTTTTTTTGTATACAAAAGTTCCACTGATAAAAGTAAAGTATAGTAAAAGTCTTTGGACTTAAATCTGTCATAAAAATAAAACAAACCTTTATCTGATGATGTCAGGCTATTGTTGCAAGAAAATGTATACTGAAATAGTGAATCAGTTGTATTACATAGCCATTATCTTTAGCCATAAATTGTGGTAAATGTGATTTATATATGTTGTTACAATGTTATTCTTTGGCTTAGTGTGTGAATTTAATCAGGCCAGTGACAGCAGATGAAAATGATCTGTTTAAATAACACTAATTAATGTGTTGTCATTGAGAAATAAATAAATAAATACACAGTATATATATATATATATATTTTTTTTTTATTATACATTCATAAAATACGTACTCATTTAAGACATGAGATTAAACAATTAGTTAAATGTTAAATATTAACTCATGTGGATCTGTCAGGCACAGGTGCTCGCTGTGTGGATCTGTCGGGCACAGGTGTTCGCTGTGTGGATCTGTCGGGCACAGGTGCTCCCTGTGTGGATCTGGCGGGCACAGGTGCTCCCTGTGAGGATCTGTCGGGCACAGGTGTTCGCTGTGTGGATCTGTCGGGCACAGGTGCTCCCTGTGTGGATCTGTCGGGCACAGGTGCTCCCTGTGAGGATCTGTCGGGCACAGGTGTTCGCTGTGTGGATCTGTCGGGCACAGGTGCTCCCTGTGTGGATCTGTCGGGCACAGGTGCTCCCTGTGTGGATCTGTCGGGCACAGGTGCTCCCTGTGTGGATCTGTCGGGCACAGGTGCTCCCTGTGTGGATCTGTCGGGCACAGGTGCTCGCTGTGTGGATCTGTCGGGCACAGGTGCTCGCTG